GATTGAGTAGGCTGATGGCTTCATTTCATCCAGGATGGAATTAGTACTTCTGTTTCACAGCATTTTTACTTCTGTTGCTCCCTTAACGATTATTTAAGGGAGGAGACAAGTAGCTCTTTATTGTGGAATACTAGTATCACTTCAAATTTATTTTTACAACCTTTAAGTATTTTCAATACTTTTTTCTCAAATCTGCTGAGGTTACACAGAATAGCTTCTATTATTTCCAATTTACAGAAAGAATTTTCATTCAATTACTCTATTTACATATTGAACCCATTTTGGTAGAATATCTACCATGTTTTGACCTCAGAAGGGTTGAGAAAAAGCCCTCATCTCTTGACTAGTATCTGTTCACAAATGACCTCTTTTCTCCCCTGGGTCCAGTCTCAACACCCTCTTGCCCCAAATGCGGTGCACTGAGCTCCACTTCCATCAACGATTATAAAGAGTGCTCACTATTATTACATAATAGATCAAAGTCCTGCTTAGGAGAAAAATGAACTTGTGAGTCCAGCCAACTCACTCATAGTCCTCTTAGTTACGTGAAATATACTCCCATCTATTCCAGCCCTCTTATCCTCCGCTCTGTATCCTTCCATCATTGGGAAGGCTGGTCATTGAAAACATCTAATTCTGGTGTGACAACCTTGAGTGCTAAGTTACACCTTGTTTTTCAAATCTTCCTCAAAGAGTTCAAATCAATGAGAAATTAGACTGCACATTTACAGATGACATTAATACTTTAAATGGAAGATATATTTCCTGTCTTTTTAATAAGAAGAAAGCTGAGCAGCCTACACCCAAGAGGGAAAGCAATTTGCACCTTTCAGGCGGGAGCAATAAAAATGATCGTTTTACATGAAGGAATCGAATTAATGTAAGTGTGATTGTTAGGTTGGAGAGTACTGCAGAGCTTTTGGGCTTCTAACCAAGGATCAGACTTTAATTATTAAGGGAAATTATGCTGATTCGAGCATTAAATACTGTATGGTTTTAACACTACCTTAGATATACTGAATCCCAAATCATCAAAGTTGTTACAATCTATCAGCTTGGACTACTCTGATGGATAAATGAGTAAATACATCTGGGACCTTCCTCCCCTCCCCCTTAAAACTCTTAGGATGTAATTAGGGAAGGAAAAAATTTATTTCAAGATACCTGAATGCCCTTGTGAAGCAGGAGGATGAATGTGTTCAAGCACAGCATTAGTGACTTGGGAGATTATTTTTCAAATCCTACACCCAAAGAAGAACAGCCTGAAAAGGATCTGCCACAGACTGTTCCAACAGGCCCTATAAAGGGAACACTGGGCGATTAGGATTATTCCACAAAAAGACTTCTGAGGATGCACAGTGGAGCCTAGCTTTCTAAAATGTACCATCCTTCTACACATTTCGTGTGGCCAATAATTGAGATAGTGATTAGACAGGTAACTGCCAGTGAAATGTCACAAAGAGGAAAAGCGGCACATGTAATGGATATCTATCCAAAAGGTTTGTAGTAAGGTCCTTAAAGAAAATAAATAAATAAATAAAATGGTTATGTCTCTAAAAGACCCCCATATGTTTAAGAGGAGGCCGCACTGTATAAGCCTACATTGACAATTATGCTGTGATTTATGCAGGAATATGTAGCTGTTTTTATTTTCTTTCTTCCTGTAAGAAATTACAAGAATCTTTTAACAAGTGGCTGTCTTTGAAAACCACTTTGTCTGTATTTTCTAACCTAATACATATATTGATTTTCTTTGATTGTTTTAAGAACAGCAGATTCGGATTGTTATTTGGACAGGGAAAATCTCAGAGTGGTAAAATTATGAGTAATTATTGTTTTAGATTTTATTTATATGCATTTTCCATATTTTGTATATCAACGTACTATTTTAGTCATTAATGAGGAAAAAAACCTTTAAGTTGCAAAAAGATCTTTAGGGAATAGACCTATTTGGCAACCTTCACTTTATTTTTTTAAATTTTTTTCTTTAATGTGTTTATTCACTCTTTTTCTAGATTGACTCATATTGTAGATTTTTGGATGTAGATATAATTATTAACATGTAAGGATATATTACCTGGGCAACCTTCACTTTAAATAAATAATATAAACACCTATTCTTTCTGTAACATGTATTAATCAACTTCATTACACCACATCCCTACTCAAAACCTTCATCTATAGAATTAAAAATATCAGTTCCTAAGCATTACACTCAAAACCATGCATGACCAACTCCCACTATCTTACTACCTTCTGGCCTTGCTCCCATATTCCAGCCAGATGGAACAAGCTGAAATTCCCAGACATGCTACCTCTCTCACTCCTGTGTGCTCTGAAAATACTATTCCTTCTATATGGAACATCTTTTCCTTCTCTCTGACCACCTGAAAAATTCCTATTTTTTTTCTTTAGAATTCTACCCCAAAGTTTCCACTTTTGAATGGCACAGTTTTATACACTGTTGGTGGAGAAAATGATATATCTCTAAAGAGAACAATTTGGCTCTATCTATCAAAATTATAAATGCACTTTCCCTTCAACCCAGCAATTTCACTCCTAGGAATTTAACTTACAGTTATCCTCACACATTTGTGAAATGATGATATACAAGATTATTCACTGCAACATGGCTGGTAGCAGCAAAATATTGGAAACAACCTTATATATATGCATATACTGGGAGTTGGCTAAACACATGGAAATCCATATAGTAAAACTATCTTTGCAGCTGTCAAATGAACGAGGAGTCCTTGATGTACTGACAAAAAAAAAATCTCCAACACATACTGTTAAATAAGAAAAGTACAGAATGGGACACCAAACATCTGTAAAAAGAGAAGGGAAGAATACATACAAATTTGCTTGTATTTGCATAAAATATTTCTGGAAGAATATCGTTAGAAAACATCACAGGACAACCGGAGTGTGTAGGAAACTTCGTTAGATGGCATTTTATAGTTGTTGAAATTTTGAAACCATGTGAATGTACTACTTACTTAAAGGTAAAATTGTAAAAGCTTAAAAACCAAAATGCTTAAAAAAAAAGTGTCCACATGTTTATGAAAGTATCTATTTCCCACACTCTCCTGATCATTCCTTTATTCTCTCATTAGAACCTTTACTGACGACAGGTACTATGTGCCAGGTGTTGTGGTAGGTAGAGATGGAAAATAAAAACAACCTGCAGGGAAAAGCCTCAATGCACAACTCAAAAAGCAGACAGAATATCTCATTTCAGTGAGTGCCCAGGGTGCAGGGTGTGACAGATACACAAAAAAGAGGCAGGCATCACATACATCCTAATAGCACTCTTATCCCTGGTGCATAGTAACTGTTTACATGGCTGTCTCTTAAGCTAGATTGCCATCTCTTTGAAGCTATCTCAGAGGTTAACACAGTGCTATGCACATAGGAGATATGCATGTTAAATGAACCACTGAAAAAGATATAACAGAAATAAGCGCTGCACTTTTTAACAATTAGGAACTAATATATTTTTTTTAAGGTTTTATTATTTATTTGACAGAGAGAGACACAGCGAGAGAGGGAACACAGGCAGGGGGAGTGGGAGAGGGAGAAGCAGGCTTCCCGCAGAGCAGGGAGCCCAACATGGGGCTCGATCCCAGGACCCTGGGACCATGACCTGAGCCAAAGGCAGACGCTTAATGACTGATCCACCCAGGCGCCCCAGGAACTAATATTTAAGTACTTAGACTCTAACCTGATTCCACAATCAATTTTATGAGAATTTAGTATAAAGATCTAAGGATTAAAAAAAAAATTGGCAGGGAGGGGCAGAGGAAGAGGGAGAGAAAGAATCTCAAGCAGGCTCCACACCCAGCATGGAGCCCCACGCTCAGAACCCTGAGATCACGACCTGGGTTGAAATCAAGAGTTGGATGCTTAACCCACTGAGCCACCCAGGCACCCCAGGATAAAAAAATTTTTAAATAACTACCCCTATCTTACGTGTACAGATATTTACGAATATATTCAACTGTCACAAACATCATCTACTATAGACCAATGATTATACCTATGTGGTGTTTCATTTTCTCCCAATACCATCAATTAAATATACACAGAGAGAACAATGCACCAGGCACAATGCTGGGCTGGTGATACAATGGTAAACAAAAACAGATACAGTCCTGCTCTCACGGATGTTACAAGTTAGTGAGAGACTAATCAAATAATCACCCAAGTTTCACAAGTATTTTTCGGTATCTTTAAGAAGGGAAAGAGAAAGAATACAAGGCATGGCCAAGATTTCTCCTAGCCAGCCATAAGGAAAGGAACATTACCTAAAACCTTTGTGTCTCAGATAATATGTTAAATGTTATGTTATGGGATTGTGAAGAGAATTCAGTGTCCTTGAGCGCTGATGGAGAAAATACCTTTATTTTCCTGAACCTCTGAAATTATCAGCTATAGATATTACAAATATTTTCATTCACATTACAGTTATTGCATATCTCAAAATATTATTTATATTTATCACTATTTTATAGGAACTAAGGTAGTTATTCTACTTGCTGCCATATCTTGTTATTTAATGTATTAATAGAGAAGCATATGGTACTCTATCATAAATCTGATTTTGGGGAGTTGGGGGTGGGAAAAATGGGTGAAGGTGGTCAAAAGGTACAAATGTCCAGCTATAAAGTTAAGTCCAGGGGATGAAATGTATGGTATTGTGACTATAATTAATAATACTCCATTGCAGTGGTGGGGGGTGGGGGGTGAAATACGCAAAGGGGACAAAAAGATACAAACTTCTAGTTATAAAATACATAGGACACAGGGATGCAGTCTACAGCAGAAGGAATATAGTTAATATTGTAACAACTTTGTATGATGACAGATGGTAGCTAGATTTATCGTGGTAATCACTTTGTAATGTATATAATGTTAAATCACTATGTTGTATGCCTGAAATTAATAGAATGTTGTACGTCAAGTCAACTACATGCCAATAGAAAATAATACTCTATTGTATATTTGAAAGTTGCTGAGAGTAGATCTTAAATGTCTCATCACAGGACCAGGAATGCCCAAAGCACTGTAGGGGAGATGAAGCTGGAGGTGGACAAGATATTTCCCAAGGGCATGGGGCCATACATGGACCTGGATGAGACAGAAGGCAGCACTGGGCTCCTGATGAACTTGGTAGTCAATGAAAAGGCAGTCCATGCAGACTTTTTAAAGGATTTTGTAGATCTCTTTGATAATGATGATATCCAGTGAGGTACAGCAGTGCGTGTGGTCAAGCCTTTGTTATGTAGTGGTCTGGTGGATCTCCTCAAAGGACAATTTCAAACAGATCTAAAGAACTTGTGGATATTACTTGAAATTAGGAGATGGTTAACCAAGAAAGAGAAGGATGGTTTTAACCATCTGTATGAGGCTTGTTAATTTCTGAATGTGACCAACTTTCATCCTTCAATTTAAAAAAAAGCGATGCCATCAAAAAAAAAAAATTCTCATCACAAGGGAAAAAACTGTAATAGGTGTGGTGCTGAATGTTAACTAGACTTATTGTGATCATTTTGCAATATATATTACATATATATACATGTCAAATCATGTTGTACATCTAAAGTAATGTTTATATGTCAATTATACCTCAAATTTTAAATGTGATTTTTCTCTATTTTGATGACATTATTTCAATGTAATTGGTTTCCTATATAATTTTATTTGTTTTATTTTATGCATTTAAAAATAATTTTCCGATAAGGGGCCCGTGGACTTAATCAGATGGCCAAGAGTCCATAACCCCAAAATTGTCAAAAATCCCTGGGCTAACAGATGGTTCAGGTTGGAATAACAAAGTTGGCATACCATAGCATGTCACTGGAGAAGAGTTTTCTTTCTTTTTTATTATTATTACTATTTTTAAATATTTTATTTATTTATTTGAGTGAGAAAGAGAGAGAGAGAGAACACAAGTGGGGTGAGGGGTAGAGGGAGAAGCAGACTCTCTGACAAGCAGGAAGCCCGACTCAGGGCTTGATCCCAGAACTCCAGGATCACAACCTGAGCTGGAGGCACATGCCCAACCAACTGAGCCACCCAGGCGCATCTGGAGAAGAGGGTTTTCTGTTTTTAATTACCTTTGGGAGAGATGGGAAAGAAGAGTGCCAATTCACTTCAAAGTTCCAAGTAAAATGAAAAAGAATAATAGAACGGTAAGTTTGAATTTATAGTCAGGTTTTATTGTATTTTTGAGTATATGTCATTTTCTGATGACAAATCTGTGGATATGACTATAAACAAAGTATGCTACTGAGAAACACAGTATTTACATATTGTAGATAGCTACCTAACTATGATGGCCACATGAAAGGTCAATTATTACATATGTGGTAGATGACTGTTCAGCAAATAGTCACTTCCCCTCCTCTAACCTCCATGGTGGTGTATCCTTTCCTGTCCCACCATGTTGGAAATGATGCTCTGATTTGCTTTGGCCAATGGAACATGGATAGAAATCAAACTGTGCTAGCTCTGAGACCAGGCCTTTAAGAGGCGTTTCCACTGACCCTTCTGGGAATTTTTTTTTTTTTTTTAACATTTCATTTATTTATTTGATAGAGAGCACAAGCAGGGGGAGCTGCAGGCAGAGGGAGAGGGAGAAGCAGGGAGCCTGAGGTGGGGCTCGATCCCAGGACCTGAGGATCATGAGCTGAGCTGAATGCAGATGCTTAACTGATTGAGCCACTGAGGCACCCCCCCCCCCTTTCTGGGAACTTCTAAACTTTTGTCATGAGAAGGACGCATTCCAGATAGCCTATTGATCACAAAAGAATGGGCACTGTGGAACAGATCTAACCAAATCTGGGTTCTAAAGCTAAGTAAACTCAGCTATAGCCAGCTGTGCCAGCCAAGATCAGCCAAACCCTAGCCATCCAAAGACTCATAAGACAAAGATAAATGCCGACTGTTATGTACCACAAGATTAATGGTTGTTTGTTGTGCAGCAATATCTGAATAACAAAATACACTAAGAGTGCTCTTTAAAAACTTTGTCCGATTAACTAATGCCATTCTCTAGTCCCTCCATAAAGAAATCAGATACCCTGGGCATGCTTAACTCTTGTGGTGACTAGGCCACAACTGAGTTTATGCTTAAAAAAGTTAATTGCAGGGGCACCTGGGTGGCTCAGTCGTTAAGCGTCTGCCTTTGGCTCAGGTCATGATCCCAGGGTCCTGGGATCGAGCCCCGCATCGGGCTCCCTGCTCTGCGGGAAGCCTGCTTCTCCCTCTCCCATTCCCCCTGCTTGTATTCCCTCTCTCGCTGTGTCTCTCTCTGTCAAATAAATAAAATCTTTAAAAAAAAAAAAAAGTTAATTGCATTTGTTCCCAAACATGTTTATGTTCATAATAAGATGAATGTGAAAAAAAACTGAATTGCTATTTCTATAAAAACTAATTTGAACAATCTGGAAAGACTTTCCAAAAGTCAAATGGTGAAACAGAAAAGTCACTGTCACATTAAATGATTGCAATGCTACTATCAAAGATGTAAAAAGTTGCTAAAAAAAAAAACTCTACAAAGTTTAAAGATTGCTTTGTAAGTTTATTAATTTGTTGCCCTCTTAAGGAAACAAACTAGAAAGTATTATGTACTTCAGAATTCCTATTCTAAGAAAGGGCATAAAGATTCCTATAATGAAATTGATAATGAATATAGACTGATGTTTTAAGTTAAAATAAATGTTTAGGTTAATATGTACTTTTTTTTTTTTTTTAATGCTTCATCCCCTGAGCCAACTTTTTCTATTAAGCGACTTCAGTCCTGACTGTGTCAGGTAAGTGAGTTTCTTCAGTATTTCAGCCTGACAGAAATCCTATTGTGGGCATTACAATGATCAGAGCTTCAGTATTATTTTTGCTTTGTTTTGCTGCAAATCCTATTTATAAGCCAGCTTGTAGTCCTGGCATTGAGTTTGAATGTTACAATTTCATTTCATATTGAGTTTGAGCACTGTAGTGAGTTTTTGATATAATACTGGCTTCTCTAATAATTTAATATCAGTTTAAATTTCTGTTAACCAAGCCTAAAATCTGATCCATTAGATTTTTAAAACACAAGAACATCAAATCAGGAATAAAACCTGAACTCCTTCTGACTTAAAAAGCCCTCCATCATAACCTGGTTCCCAACTTCTTCCCCAACCACGTTTCTTACCACTGTCTGCCCCTGGTGCTCACTCCACATTGTGATCCCACACTGACCTTCCTGTTTTGCTAATATATCAAACTCATTACCACTTTGGGGCCTTTCTCTCAGAGCTTTTCTCTGCCTGAGCTACTCTTTTTCCTGATTTTCCCAGAGATGTCATTCAGATCTCAAATGACACCACTGAGGCCCCCAGTGACTATCCGAAATAAAGCCTCCAATTAATCCCTTTTGATAATATCACTCCATTTTAAGTCTCTGTATAATACTTCTCACTAGGTGATAAGTAATATCATTAGCTACTATTTCTGTCTGACTTCTCCCCAAAATAGTACAAGCTTCACAAGTGATATGTCTTTAACGTTCACACCTTGCTCCCAGGGCTTAAAAATATAGCACAGCACATAGTAGCCAGATCAATGAATATTTTTGATTATTAAATTGAATACAAACATGGATGCTAAAACAAACAAAAAACCTAGAATAAGATATTTTTCAACCACCATGGTAAGTTAGGATTTAAAAACAGAAATAAAAAATTTAATGTGTTACATGTTTTATGTCAACTGTTTCTATAACATCTCCCCATCCCAAATATTTTGAATTGACTTACAAATCAACACCACCCCCAGTATCAAGCATAGAAAGATTAGTTCTCAAATCTCAAACAGGATTAAATGCAGAAAAGTTCATAATTATTGTTACAGAAACTGGTTCAATGATTTCATATTAGCAAAACCACCTAAATAATTTTTGGATAATGAATTTCTTTATAAAGTCTGCTAAAAGTTCATCTTTTATTTCAAGATTTTTATAAAGAGAAATCAGTTTAGAATCATACCAACTAATGCACACGTGCCTGTGTGCAAGGTAAGCTCAAGTACTGTACTTGCATTAACTGATTTAATTCTCACAAAATCCTATAAGGTGCCTAATATGGTTCCAATTTTACAGATGAGAAAAATGAAGCTCTGAGAGGTCAAGGAATCTGCCAAAAGCCGGTGAGCTTGTTGGAGGTGAGGTCGGATGTGACCTAGACAGTTTGGCTCCAGAGCCTGTGCCCATAGGCTCTACTCTACGCTATGTCACCTCACCTGACATGACTCAGCCAGGATTCTGGAGTTGTGACTTAGGGGTAGCAGCTGAACTCTCTGCATATGACAGAACTGTAAATCTGGATGCTATATGGCAGCCATATTCCTTGGGAATGAAGAAGCAGAAAACTTGGGTAAAGAGATAAAGGAGAGGCCAAGAGAGAAGTTAATGAGGTGGCAAGAAACAGGGAGGACTCTTGCCAGCATCAGTCCGGTACCAGCCCTGCTGCCCGGCTGAACTTCTGCCCTTGTGTTTAAAGGGACACACCCTGGTGTCTGTATGGTAAGTGCCCTTTCTTGTTTAAGACAGCTCAAGATTTTATTACTTGCAACTGTAAGAACCTTAACTCATTATCAGAACTGATCAACCAAATGAGCGAAGATTTGGCTCCTGACACTAAACTGAAATTGATGGAATATAGCCAGAATGTGTACATACTAAAGAACAATTAAAAATAAAAAATGTTCAGCTAATAACATTTTTAAAAAATATGGATGAATCAATTGGTCTTATGTTTTATTCGAATCAATATTTGAAATGTATATCCAGTGAAGATTCAGAAATAACTATTGATTTCATTGTTTTACCCATATTTGGCACATGGAATTGCTCTGAATTTTTTTTCTTCCTAATTTGGCATGCTAGATTACCTCAGTGTGCCAACCCAATAAGGAGGCAGTAATTTCAGAATGCTTACCCTCATCTCCCATTGATAGAACAGATAAAGTGTAGCTCCCTGAAAGAGCTCCTTCCCTTTGCTGGCACAGTGCTGCTATTTTGGTATCTGTCAGTGAAGAACAAATATCTAGTGGCAATAGAGGCTAGACGTGTGTTAGCCTGGGTAAACAGCTTTTGTTAATGGGACAGTGTTCTAGCCACCGAACACCAAGTCCCTTATAGTGATAGGCGACCCAGAATTTCAAGATGTGGAAACTAGTAAAGCCAGGCCATCTTTTCTCCAACACAC